TTCCCTAGTAGGTTAATTCAAACAACAACCTATTAAATATGTATTACCATGCCTTTATTATGCATGAAAATATTGTCTGAACAATAATCAAAGAACCTTCTCTTTGATCATAAAGCTGGTAATTATGCCAGTTTCAGTGACCTCATCTTTATAATAGTAAGCACAATATAGACTTACTGTGTTTTTTAAAGAATAAATATCTTTATTACATAGGCTGTGATTGAACAGAAGAAGGCTTATTTAGCTTTCTGTTTCTTACACAGAACTGCAGCTTTTTGGTCTCTAGCACATGGTAGGCTTTTGACTACATTGGAATTAAACTGGCCTGAAAGAGATGAATATAAATGCATTCTGCCAGGATCCCAGCTGAAGACTACTCCTCTCAGCATCCTTTCTCCATGTTGCTTTTGAATTTCTCTTTTGCTCCTTGGAATTCTATAAGTGAAACAAACATAGAGATTGGTTTGATATAGTTCAGTAGGGCTTCCATCTCAGGCAGTGAATGTCATCAAAAAGACAACCTGCTCAAAACTGTAATATTTTGAAGAGAAATACACACACACACACACACATACACACACACGATTGGGGAGAATCCTGAACAAGCTTCCCCTGTGGAGTTCTTTTGGAAGAAGAATATAACAGCTGCAGAAGAGTGGCAGAAGTTGATCAGGACTCTTATCCTCTCTCTTATGAAATAAAATGTTAATAATCAGGAGCAAAGGGCACCAAAACTGTTGCCCTTCAGGCAATTGTGCAGACACATGCCATTGTAATAAGGGAACAGAAAAACGGCAGTGATAACAACAATCACCTTTGCCCTGGGGAGGAGCAGCATTTATATCAGAATATTGCCATTAAGAAAATAATCTTTTTTCAGCATTATTGAGGCATAATTGACAAGTGCAATATTAAGATTTTAAAGTATGCAATGTGATGATTTGATGTACATATGCATTGTGAAAGGACACCCCCTGGGTTAATTAACTCATCCATCACCTCACATATTTTATACCCCTATTTTTTGGTCAGAAAATTAAAGTTCTATTCTCTTAGCAAATTTCAATTATACAAAAGAGAATTATCAACTATAGTCACAATGTTATACTTTAGGTCGTCAGACTTTATTCATCTTATAACTGAAAATTTGTACCCTTTTACTAACCTCTCCCTATTTCCCCCAGTCCCTGGCAACCACTCTTCTACTCTGTTTCTGTGAGTTTTTTATAAAACAGATTCCACATATACAGTAATGCAGTGCAGTATCTGTGTGGCTTATTTCACTCGGCATAATACCTTCCAAATTCATCCATGTTGTTGCAAATATCAAGATTTACTTCTTTTTCTAAGGCTAAATAATATGCCATATTGTGTATATATGCATGTGCATGTGCATATATATATATATGTGTGTGTATATATATATATATATATATATATATGACATTTTCTTGATCCACTCATTCATTGACTAACACTTAGGTCGTTTCCATACTTTGGCCATTGTGAATAATGCTGCAATAAAAATGGGAATACAGATGATCTTCACATTGGTCTTGGCAATATTTTTTTTGGATTTGACACTGAAAGCAAATGAAATAAAAGAAATAATAAACAAGTGGGGTTACATCAAACTGAATAGCTTCTGCACTGCAAAAGAAACCATCAACAAAGGGCAAAATATGGAATGGGAGAAAATATTTGCAAACCACATATCCAATAAGAATTTAATATCCAAAATATACAAAGAACTCATAAAACTTGGTAGCAAAACCACAAATAATGCTATTAAAACATGGGCAAGGGATCTAAATAGATATTTTCCCAAAGAAGATATGCAGATGGCCAACAGGCACGCGAGAAAGTGCTCAACATCACTAATCGTCAGGGAAATGCAAATCCAAACCACAGCGACGTATCACGTCACGCTAAGGGTGGCTTGTGTCAGGAAGACGAGGGGGAAGAAGTGTTGGTGAGGATGTGGAGAGGGATCCCTTGCGCGCTGTTGGTGGGAATATAAACTGGTGCAGCCACTATGGAAAACAGTATCTAGTTCCCTCAGTAAAAGCAAAGAAAAGAATCGATGCTGAAATTTAATTTCACATGTCTATTCTTATCTAAGAAAGGTTTGGTTTTTGATAAAATTATAGCCCACAATTTCTATTACTCATTTATTACTGTGACTTGGTACTAATCTTTAATGTTCTTTAAATTAAAGCATATTTTAAAGAAACTGTGCTGAACAAGGCAAAAATAGAATGAAGAGTGAAACAATAGGGAGAAATGTGATAGGTGATCTTCAGACATATTCCTCTGGGCCTTATACTGCCATTTATTCCTGTCCACTGCCTTCTCCCTACTATCAAATAATATAGCAGAGTATGTTTTTTTTTCTTTAAATGCTGAGTTAATTGCCAGGCAGAGTACTACACACAACCAGACAAGAAATTCAGTGAGTCATTTCCAGAGGAGAAAAAGCAGAGATTTTTAAGTACTAAAAAGTGAAGGGGGTATGGTTCACAATGGCTGTGGTAATGAAAAATTGAAAACTAGCTCTTCACATAGTATTCATGAATCCACATGTCTGTATACAATTGGTTTAAAATAAGTCCGATTGGTCATTAGTTAGGAAAAACTCCACTTAGATTCAGTTCAGGGTTAAAATTCATGGTTCTTTAAGTTTTGATTCTCTCCTGGGCACATACAGCTGTTTTTGTTTTTGTTTTTTTCTTTATACCATCTACTTTCTATGCAGGAATTCCCTTGGCAACACAGAAAAAGGTTGTTATCCAAATTCTTTTTCTTGCTTTTCTAGTAAGAATAGTTACAAAGAAAAAAAATCTTAAAGTCAGCAAATTAGCTTAAGTGTACACTTAGGATATCTTCATATCTGTTGATTCAGTGGAGTTACTTAACAAAATATCAAAGTTACATATTAACCAAGATAGAGAATTTGAAAGAGCAAGGAATCTTATATAAGGCTGAGAAATGCACTTTAAAAATTGTATCTACAATCTACTTCAGTCCCTTTTAATTTACAAGGTCCTTTGTCTTTAGTCTACCAAAAACGGACTTTTCTAAGACTTCACTCAGTTATTCTTGTAACAGTTTTCCATTGTTCACTCCAAAGTACGCCAATCACTACATAGCTCTTAAGATATCAATTTGCATATAATCAGTTGGTTTTTATTAACACATGATAAAGACATAGCATTAAAAATATATCAAAACTTCTTTTAGTAATCCTTTTGCTTTCCTCTTTCCTAGAGAAAATGAGCTTCTATTATAATTTCCAAAGTGTTTCAGAATTAACATACTCTTTTCCAAGTTGATGTTCCACAAATATTTGTCCAGCGACTATGTGAAGATACAACAATGCTGGCAAATTTTGACAGAACTTACCAGAATGTGAGTTTTCTCTGTTACACAGTGCACCCTGGAATTTGAACTCTTATTAGCAACACTAATCCTGGACCCAGGCAACCTGATGTGTTAATGAGGAAACTGGCTAAGATGTTAGATAACAGTTCTGGGTGGAGCTAGCTCAGTCTCTCTTTAGTTTCAGTCATTGAAATAAAGTGTAACACTGTCCTTGCTGAAGAAACAGAATAGTTACAATATGGTGAAAAAATCCTTTTTCTTTCTGACATTGGCAATCCTCATAGCATATTATATTTATATACCCCTTCCAGATAATGTAGAGGAACCCTGGAAAATAATGCTGCTTGATGCTGTTATGAGAACACCATCACATTTGGTAAGTAGAAATATTTATTAATCAAGAGAGGCAAATTTTCTAGGATTCCAATTTTTTGTTTTGTTCTTTTTCAAGTTCTGTGTGCCTTTGACTTATTGTCAAATTCTGCTGACTTCTTTATTGTATCTTTGAATGATCTCAAAAGACCACTAGCAAGATAAACAAGAAGACATTCAATTTGTATTTCTAAAATGATCCATTTTAGTAGCAGTAAAGAAAAAAACATGTATGATAATTTTTTGGTTACTTTTTGCACTTATGTGCGATTTTAAATTTTCATACAGAACTCTGAAGTCATATGTTTGAGCTACACTGTAGTTAACTATGACATTGAAGCACTAATATTGGAAAGAGTGTACACAATATATATATGAAGTGGGTTCATACTAAGAAAAATGACTAATAAAAGACCCACACATATAGACAAGAGACTTGGTTACCACAGAGAAGAGGGGAGAGGAAGGGTGAAATTGTTGAAGGGGAAAAAGAAGTACAAACTGCAAATTGTAAAATAAGTTAGACATAGGAATGAAATTACAACACAGAATATAACCAATAATATTGTAATATCTTGGTATAGTAATATCTTGGCATCTAGTAATGTGTTTAATTATTGAGTCACTATGTTGTACATCAAACCAATATAATGCTGGGTATCTTTATATACAGTAGCTTTATTCCAATTTTAAAAAAATGAGAGCTGTGGTTAATGGCAGTAGAAGAATGCCTCTCTATTATCTCCGTTATGACTACTTCATTGGGAAACTGGCCCAGTTTATTTCCTTTAACTCTCTCACTATAAAATTAACCCTTTCCCTCTCTCTCTCTACATATAAATGTTTAAACAGTAATTAGCAAAGATTATTCGGTGGTAGAAATTGGAAGTTGCCAGAGTGCTGACAGAAAGAAATCTTTGATCTCAACATGCACATTTCCAGAAATGGAGAGCTCACTACCCTTTTTATGTAGCTCCCTCCATTTTTTCAAAATAGTTTTAAGTAGATTTCCTTCTTTTAAAATAGCCATACATTCATAGAGCTCAAAAATCAAAACAAGATGAAAACTGAGACATTCTGCTCCCTCCACTTGCCTTCATCCATCCTGTTTCAGCCCAGTCCTCTGCAGAACACCAGTTTTATTAGCTTCCTGTGATTCATCCTGGGGATTCTTTATACGAAATAATACCAATGATAATGAATTCAAGCAATGAAAATATGTATTATCCCTCTCTCATTATTTTCTAAGAAACAATATAACAAATATTCTACTGTGGTCTTTGCATTTCTCATTTAATGATATACCCTATAATATTTTCATATCTTCACATATAAATCTCCCTCTTTCTTTGACATACTGCAAAGGATTCATATATGTGTATAAAACAGAGTTTATTAATCAGACCCATTTAGGTCAAAACTTGTTCTTTTTAGTGTTTGTTATTACAAACAGTAAAATAAAAATACATGAATAATATTTGGAGGCTGGGTTTTGTCTATAATAAATCCCCGAGGTAGAATTGTTGGACCAATTGTAATTGTGCTAATTATTGCAAAATTGCTCTGTAACAATATTCCACTCCTACCAAAAAAGTCATGGGAATATCTGTGTCTTGTCAGCTTCTTAATGAAGTGTATTGCAGTGTTCTGAATTTGGTTTTCCACTGTAATTGGTAAATTGCATCATACTACTATTTTATTTTTGTGTTTCTCTTATTAAGGTAAGTTTTACAATGTTTTCTGTTTGGATTTTCATTTCTTTTCTTTGAACAATTTGAAAAGCTCCTTTGTCCTCATTTTTAATTGGGTTTGCTGTTTTTTATTTCATTCTGTACTAGAGAGATTAGGCCTTTGTGAAAGGAAGTGCATTCTTCATTTCCAGTTAGTCTTTTGTCTTTAATACAATAAATTGGCACTGATAAAATATTTTTTATTATTCTTAATTTTAAAAAAATTATAATTTATCAATATTTAAGTTGTATCTTTGGCCACTCAAAAAGCCTCAAAAACTATCACACCCTACCACAAACCCAAATCCTGGAACTTTTTTCTTGTATTTAAAGGTTCACTTGCGTTAAAGGAATGTTCACCTAGTCAGGGAATGTCTGTGATTTATAAACTTTCACCTGTGATAAAAGTCCCAAAAGTTTTTCCAATTAAAAAACTTTTGGAATTTAGATAGTAACCAAAATCTAGGTTTTGTTAGACTCTAGTTCATGCTGGTGATTAATTGTTTCCAGTAGAAAATTAAGGCTCTTCTCAAGACCTTAGAAAAAGTGTGGATTTATATGAGTCTCACCAAACTAATCTCAGCTTCTCAGTAAATGTCTTTGATTTCTTTCAAGAATTTTGGAATCTGCTCACAAATGTGGAATACCAAGTTTTGATATATCTGAAATTATAGACACTAATTCTAATTGAAGAGAGAGGCAACAGGTTTTATGTGTCCCATCTAGAAAAAATAGCCTGGCTGAAAGAAGTACCATTTATTAAATGTATGTCATTGGATGTGGGAGAATAAAAAGGCCACCTAATAACCTACTTGTATTGCTGTAGAAAAGCACAAAACCTGCCAAGCCAGAGTAAATGTGCTGTAAATCAATTCAATGTATCACTACAATCATTCAAATACAGTACAGTTTACTGACATCACATCCTAGCATTTCTCACTAGCAGGACAACCAATCATATGAAGGAAAGCAGGAGAGATATGGACGGGGAAAGGGACAATTCATCTGCTGACTTCATGATGGGACACTAAAGCTGTATGTCAGGGGGCCCTCAGACTCTAAAAGGCTCAGCAAGCAGAAACTTTCCTTCCTACAATTAGTCTCTTAAGCTGAGTCATACTGCCTCTTCTGTGTGCCAAGTCTGGGATGTTTTCACAAGGCTAGGGAAATATTAGATGTCTTTACATTTTTAATTGTCAGCTCCATTGCTGTTTTTATAGGTGCACTGGTATTCATGATATGGGCTAGTTTATATGCTCCATACAGAAAAATCGTAATAGTCAAGCCCCTGATCTGTGCACCTATTTCAACCAAGATGTATGTGTCAGAGCTGGCTACATAGTTTGTGGAGGCCAATGCAAAATAAAAATACAAAACCCCTTATCCAAAAGGCAGGAAAAAATTACATTTAAAGATTTTTACTATAAAGCTTTTTCTTTTAAAAGCATTTCTATTATTTGGGAAATAAAATAGGAGTAATAGTGGTACGTGAATAACAACATGAAGTTACAAAAATAAATTACAAAAATATATGTTGATGTAATTTCGTTTAATGCAATGCATAGTAATTTATTGATATAAATGATAGGTAGTGTTTTGTTTGATTTTAACATCTGGCTTTTCTATAAATTTGTTTATTAGGTCATCAAAAATCTATACTTTTAGCAACTTAATTTTCAATTCCTATCATTGAGAGTGAAATCGGTTGGTCTTGGCAAATACAAAATTGCAATTAATTTTTGATTTTGAGAGGGATCATTCTGCCAATGAAACTGTTAGTACAGCTGTGTAAAATATTTTATAGGCTGTGACAACATTGGGATACATTTCAAGATATGTATTTCATTACATCTAGAACTGATGATTCTTGTGGAATAATTTTTCTAAAGAGATTCAACTTTTCATACAAATGAGTTTCATCTAAATCTGAATTTAATTTTAAATGCACATTTATATAATTAAATTTTAAGATTTCTTCTGACATTATGGAAAACTCGTAGAGGTTGTACAAGAAATTGAAAGGGGCTCCATGGTTTGCTTATCTACAGTTGATCTTTGAATAAAATGTGGGTTAGGGACAAGAAATCCCATGCAGTAAAAAATCTGAATATAGCTTTAACTCTCTAAAAACATAACTACTAATAACCTACTATTGATCAGAAGCCTTATCAATAACATAAACAGTCCATTAACACATATTCTATTATATGTATTATATACAATATTCTTAGAATAAAGTAACATAGAGAAAAGAAAATGTTTTTTCAAATTATCACAAATCTCCAAAAATTTTCTGATATGTTTCTTAAAAAGCAAAGCTGCATCAAAGAGGAACTGCACAATTCAAACCCATGTTGTTCAAGGGTTAACTATGATTCAAAATGCCTACTTATGAATTCTATTGCTTTCTCTTCAATTAAAAAGAAATTAATTTTAAAGGTGTCTTCCTCATTAATAATTAGTTCATCCAAAGCTTCATATGAAGATAGTAGCCTCTTTGAACAAATATAGGAATCTTCAGATTTATTTCCTATTCCTAAGCCTATGGATATTTGCCCTGCAAAGTTGCAGCAGTTTTAAAACCAGAGACTAAATTATTTGAGGAATTCTAATAATTTCTGCTATGCTCTATTGCAATGTTTGTGTATATACTTTCATTTTGCAATAATTTGTTGCCACTTTAACTGGTTGAGCATCCACTCTTCCTGTCCCAGAGCTCAGGTAAGAGATACAATACTTGTGGCATCTGAGGATGAATGGAGCAAGCCAGCTTCCCATGACAATCCTTATGCTGCCCTTGCAAAGCCTGTGTTTCTCCCAGTTCCCAGCCCCAGGCAATTTCTCCAGCCCCAGTGTCCTGCTCTGCCCCTTCTGTGCACTTGCACACACGCTGGGTGCCCAGGCCAATCAATCTGAGCACACACTGCCTGCTGTCCACTGTGGCTGTGGGCCTGTGCATTTAAAGTGGTGTTCTTTCACTTATTTCTGATATTGGTAAATTGCATCTTCTCTTCTTTTTTCTAGGTAGTCTGAGTTTGATCAATTTTATGGTTTCTTTTCCAATATTCAGTCTTTAGTTTTATCTAGCTTCCATTTTATTGATTTTTGTTTTTTTCTTTATTCTTTCCTTCCCCCATACTTTGGGTTTAATTTCCATTTATATTTTGAAGTTCTTAATAGAGGAAGCTTAGATCATATACCTTAGATCTTTTATCTCTTCTAATATATGTATTTAAAGCTATAACTTTGCCTCAAACCAATGTTTTAGCTGCAGTAACCAAATTTTGATGTGCCCTGTTTTCATTTTCATTTGGTTCAAAAAGTTTTCCAATTTCCTCAAGTGATCTCTTACTTGACCAATGAATTATTTAGGAGTATGTAGTTGAACTTCCAAATATTAGGGTATTTCCCATAAATCATTGATTCTGATTTTATTTTAATTATGTTATGGGCAGAGAACATACTCTGTATGATTTCAATCCATTCTAACTTGTTTTTTTCCCCAAATTTGTCATGTGGTACATCTTGGTGAAAGTTGTACACGCAGTTGAAAAGAATGTGTATTCTGCTGTGGTTGTATGGAATGTTATCAGTGTATCAATTAGTTCTGCTGGAAAATAGCATTTTTCAAATTATCTATATTCTTGTAGTTATTCTGTATATTTGTTCTATCAATTAATGAGACAGGAATGTTTTCTATTTCTCCTTTTAGTTTTTTCTGTACTTGCTTTCTGTATCATGGAATTCTATGACTGTGCATACACATTAAATGTGTCTTCCTGTGTCTTTTTGGAGAACTGACTTTTTGTTATTATGAAATATCTGCATTTATTCCTGTTTGTATGCCTTTCTTTTTCAGAAACTTTTATGAATATATTTCCCTTCCTTAACATCATTGTATCATCTTTTTTACCATCATTTTAATAAAATTTGGAGAAACAAGGAGAGGTTAAAACAGTGTTTATTCTACCATCTTGTCCTATAAACCATTCATTTTGAATTATATACTTGAAAATGAATATTTTTGTTCCTTGGAGCCCTAATTATTCTAGGCCTTTCATGAAACAGCTGAAGTGTTGTAGTCATGAAGTCTTTGTCTACTTTGTCTATTGAATTGTTGGTCTATTTTTTATTTTTATGTTTTTTAAAAATTTATTCTAGACACTAGTATATTCTTATTTAAATGTACTGCAAGTATCATTATCCACATTGTACCTTGTCTTCAAATCACCTTAAGATATTTTGATTAGTACAAGGTCTGAATCTTAACCAATGTGAATTTATCATTAATTCCTTCATAGTTTCTGAATTTATTTGTTAATATGTTTGTGTATGTTTTAGTAAATTCTTCCTAAGGACTCTTTCCTCTCATTCATCCTTGCAGACTCAGGACATATAAGGATAGCAAATGGCCTATACTTCTTCATTGCCACATTTTTTTGTTTTTCTTCAGGTTAAGCTCATTTAATCTGCCTGAAAGGCCTTCTGCTCAATTAATCATCCAAACACTATTTTCCTTTGAAGTCTCAGGTGAACTTCAAATTAAAAACTCTTTACAATTATCTCATAGATTTTTATCCTTATTTATAGTTAAGACATTATTTTATAACTTACATCTTTCATTTGGCTCTGATATTTTTGGATGAGGAGTTTTTGAGGATGAAGAGTACTTAGCACAGAATTATATATTCCACAATAATATTCCTATTGTCTGAATGCATAAGCAAGGATTAGTCTTATTAATGGTAATGAATCATATGGTAATATAGCATCTGGATTTCTGTATCTTCTGGTGCCATCATGACTGATTTTTCTGGAATGTAATTGGGCCATGTTCAATATTAATATGTACTTTTTTGTCCAAAAACATTTTTGGCACTTAGAATGTGTGTTTGTATTGTAGGCCCAGTTTGCTGAAATGTTAGGACTAAACCACTTTGTAGATTCCATGATGTTCTTTCTAAGCTTTCAAGACGTTCCACCAACATCAGATGAAAATGTAAGCGTGACAGATACAACATTTAACAACATTCCTGTCCGTATTTATGTGCCAAAACGGAAGCCAGAATCACTAAGAAGGGGACTATTTTATATCCATGGTGGTGGTTGGTGTTTTGGGAGTAATGGTAAGTGCAATATACTGTAAAATTCACCTTATATGATGTAATTGACTATTCTCATTTCATGATCTATAAATTAAATATCATGATCCTGCTTCTGAAATTCATATCATTAAAGCAATGTAAATTAATGGAGTTTTTGAAATCTCAGTGTAAAGAAGTTTATTAACACTTGAAATTTAAAAATGTTTATTTAAAAAATTATGGGTTTCTGACCCTACCGCTTCCTGAAGAATTTACAGATTTTCTGGCATGAAGATTATGCTCCTTAAGCAAATATAAAAATCACTTTGTAGGAGAGAGAACCAAGATGGCGGCATGGGTAGAGCAGGAGAAATCTCCTCCCAAAACCATATATATTTTTGAAAATACAACAAATACAACTAATCCTAAAAGAGAGACCAAAAGACACAGGATAACAGCTAGACTACATCCACACCTGCGAGAACCCGGCACCTCGCAAAGGGGGTAAGATACAAGCCCCAGTCCAGTGGAACCCAAGTGCCACCCACCCCAGCTCTGGGTGGGAAGAGAGGAGTCGTAGCGGGGAGGGAGAGGGAGCCCAGGACTGCTAAACACCCAGCCCTAGCCATCCGCACCAGAACGCAGACACAGTGCATGTGTGGGGTGCTGGATACTAGGGAAGCAGGGCAGCAAGACCTGTGAGCGGGTCCCCGCAGCTGGTGCACCCAGGACAAAGAAAAGCGTGTGCTTTTTGAAAGTCTTAAAGGGACAGGGACCCCACAGCTGGACAGAAGTGCCCCAGGACGCTTAGCCTAACAGCTGGGAATCACAGGGAAATCTGGGCACCCGAACCCCCGCAGCGCAGTGCAGCATGGAGGTCCCTCACCATGATAAACAGCCTCCCACCTGTTCCCCCTCCGACACGGCTCTGCCATATTGGAGAAACAGCCTGAGGCAGGCCACACCCTCAGCAACTGCAGCACTAAACTCCATTAGCAGCCGGGCAAGATCAGAAGCCCCATCTGCATGCAGCTGCCCAGCACAAGCTGCTAGAGGCCACTGTTCTCCCAGGAGAGGAAGGCCACAAACTGGCAAGAAGGGACTTTCTCTTACCCAACACACATGCCAGCTCCCCACAAATATATCTATTGCCATGAAAAGGCAGAAGAAATTGATACAGACCAAGATCACAGAGGCAAACCCTGAGAAGGAGATAGATCTAACCAGTCTTCCTGAAAAAGAATTAAAAATAAAGCTCATAACCATGTCGATGGAGCTGCAGAGAAATATGCAAGAGCTAAGGAATGAAGTCCGGAGGGAGATTACAGAAATGAAACAATCTCTGGAAGGATTTATAAACAGGATGTATAAGATGCAAGAGGCCATGGATGGAATAGAAACCAGAGAACAGGAACACATATAAGCTGACATAGAGATAAAAGGATCTCCAGGAATGAAACAATATTAAGAGAACTGTGTGACCAATCCAAAAGGAACAGTATC